TAAATACATATGTTTACCAATGGTTTTGTCTTTATTGACTTTCCAGGTTAGGGGACCCTCGTGTACCATCTCTCTCTTCGTCAGATCCAGATTCTAGTAGAAAAAAAGAAGCAGTAAATACTTTCATTGAAAATTAAATGATAAAAAATATAAAATATAGCTTTTTATGTAAATAGATTGTAGCACTTTAAAGGGGCCTTTGCACTTTATTAAAAATCAGCTTGCTTAGCCCAAGAGACTTTATTTAGCACTGCACTTTAAGCCTAGATTTGCACATAAAGAACAGTTTGCACACAAGGTTTTTAAAATATTTATTGAATATTTATTGGGTATTTTAATATTTAGCATGTAGCCTTTTGTTCCAGGCTCTCCACAGCTGCTCTCCATTAGCAATTGGTGTGGTTGTCTGTGGAAAACAGAATTGATGTTTAGAGCAAATAAAGGATACTGTTTAGAAACTTCAGCAAATGTTAGTGTAAAGTCTGTTAGAAGTGAGTTCGAAAGAAGTGTTGTGGTGCTGAGAAAGTGACTTACCTGTCTTTTCTGTGTCCTCTCCAGGGTGTTTGGACAAATGCTTCCCTGGGGGTCCAGGGAAGCATTTATAGGTTCTGGGAGAGACCATGGAAAATACAGGGGGAGTGGTGCATATAGTTTGTGGGATTTCTATAGTGTTTGGGTGCAAGTTAAATCAGAAAATGTTTATAAAAAAAAATAACCTTAAGTTTGTAGATATTTGATTTAAATGTGTGTTTTTTAGATGGAAGTGAGGAGCTAATTTTTCTGTAAATGGTTTAGTCCATCAGCTGTGTCTATTTAAGCTAGAGATTTGTGTGTTTGAGAGAGTCTGAATGCTGCGGAGCCAAATAAACCTGCTGATGCCTCAACTTCACTCGGCCTGATAAGTCCATTTCTCACTGAAAATCCAGCCGAGAGGTCGCCTGCTAACATGGACATTAAGATCTAAAGAAAAGCATCACCTCCTGGTCAGAACCTGGAATTCAGTGAAAGGGTGGAGTCAGAGTAAAAGAATATGAACGTCCAAGAGAAGGCCAGTGGCTGGAAGGTGGAGGAGATTTTGCTGCCTTTTGACTGGGAAGGGCCATTTTGAATGGCTGCTACTGTAACACAAATTGCCAACCTAAAACCAGAATAAAACCAGAATGATCTCAGACAAGTATAGAAGATCTAATTTATCAACTTTAATGTTTGGTGATCTCATAAACGCCTTTTACAGCTGCTTTTTGTTTCTATGCATCTTTTTCTATGTCTGCTTCTGTCTCCTTG